CCCCCCCCCCCCCCCTCCGTCGCCTCCATGCCCCTCATCCAGAGAGCTCCCTCCCCCCCGAGCCGTCTGCCGGCATGTTTTCATGTGCCGTCTTCCCTCTGTGCAGGGAGGGGGCACTTTGGCCGGATCGGGGCACGATCGGATGGTGGGATGGCGGCGATGGTGATGTGGGGGCTACTCGTGGCCTGTCCAAAGGGTGTTCCCCAGCCCCCCCCCCCCCCCCCCCCCCCCCCCCCCCCCCCCCCGCCCCCGCCCCCGCCCCCGCTCCGCCCCTTCCCCCCTCGTCCCTTGCGCCTCCTTCTCTCTCCCCCTGCCGCTTCGGATTTCCCCCTCTTTCCTTCCGGACTGCCAGCCATGTGGCCATTTTCGAGCAAGCCGGCCGCCGAGGACACTCCTGTGCCCGGTGCACACACTGGGCAGTCGACTGCTAGCAGCCCGGTCGCCGAGCAGCCGGTTCCCGCTGGCGATGCTGCCGCGCCGATGGTGGCCGAGCAGTCGGTCGCCGCATCCGCCAGTGAGATGGCTCAGCACACCGAGACCCTGATGCAGCAGCTCACCAAGATGGCAGAGAGTGAATCCTCGCAGTCTCTCTCGTGCAAGCACTATTTCGAAATGTTTTTCTATTGCAACAGTGCGTGTGGCCCTGCGAAGGCTGATTGCCTCCCCCCTTCGGCCATTTTGCCGCCCCCCTCCCCAGTCCCCTGGTCTTTCTTACTGACGCCCTTTCGTCTTGCTGGACATCCGCTCGACCACCCTAGAGTCATATCACAAGTGGAAGATGTACTACGTCCATGGTGGTTTGACAAACTGTGACAAGGAGTGGGATCTCGTGAAGAGTTGTTTCATGGTGAAGTACAACCACCGCGAGAATCAGCTGGTGCGCTCGGGTCATCCTCCTGTCTTGGCGCGATGTGCCAGACACTTCGCACATGTGTGCATGTATCTTTCTCTGTTCCGCACACAACGCCCCCTGCCCCCCCCCCCTCTCTCTCTCTCCCCCTCTCTCTCTCTCTCTCTCTCACACACACACACACACCGCACAGGATCGGTGGAATGAAGTGCTGGCTGAGAAGCAGAAGGATGTTGTGGTCGACACACATCCTCTGACTATGCGGGACTCCCCGCCGGCGGACTTCCCCCCTCTCAATCCCCCGGCCTACTGCGAGCGTGCCCACTACTAGTTCCATTGTGTGGATCCCACATTCTCGAGCTCCTCCTCCCTGTCTCTGTCTCTCTCCCTCTCACAACCTGCTCAAAATTTATAGACTCAAAAGCATCACATTCGCCCGAGGCCAGCACGCTGGTTAGCCCCCGTCTTTCACACACACACACACACACACACACACACACACACACACACACACACACAAACGAGAGAGAGACATAGAAGCTCAAGGGTACGGGTATATTCCATCGCACGCCGGCTCGGGAGAGAGACCACGACGCGGCCAAAGGCGCGTGGGTGGGGTTCGGCAGGAGCGAAGGAGGATCAAGGACAATCGGCGCATGGCGCCGCGCGGCGGGATCGGATGTGAAGGGAATGCGGGGAGGTATTTCCCCTCCCCCCTGTAAGAGGGGCGGGGAGCGTGGGGTTTCTAATTGTCGGGTTTTTTTTTCTCCTTCGGCTTGACCTAGTTTGCTCCCCCCCCCCTTCATCATGCTCTTCACACCCTCGTCCCCTTTGTGGTGGATGCTACACCTTGTCTGTCCTCGCCTTTGCTCGGGCATGGCCATGAGGCAAGGGACGAGGGGACATATGGCGGGTCTGCACTAAAACTGCTCCGGATGCAGCATGACCGACCCTCGAGGAGGAAGCCGGCGCCCGGAGGGACTGGCAGATGCACGGGCCAACCGAGATGCCTGGGCCGCGCTAGCCATCGGAGACCCGGTCAGGATGTCTGGCGTCAGCATATCCCCGGAGAGGTCCAGCCCGCCGGACACCACTGGCGACGCGTGGCGATCGTCATCATGCAACGCCAAACTCCCCTTCCGAGTGGGGGTGTACGGCGCGGATCCGGCGTGGTCAGTCGACGAGGCGGACAGCTCAGATCCTGGGCCGGAGGAGGGACCGACCACCGAGAGGCTGTTGAAGGTGTGGGACCGACGAAGGGCCCGGCTCGAACGCTGCTCCAAGGGGGGGGGGGGGGAACAAGGGAGGGAAGAGGAGGAAGGGAGCAAGTGGGGGCGCCATAGACACATGTGCGAGTTAGCAAAGACAGCGGGAATTGCCTCGTGCTAGGGCGGCCAGGAACTTATGCGGCAGGACATACCGGATCCGAGCTATCTTGCAGGGCGACCAGCGAGTCTGGCGACAAGTCACGCTCGATGTTGCCCACTGGCGCCAACAGCTGGAGGGGGACCTCATTCGTGCTCTGGCTTCGGGCACTGGTTGCCGGTCATGGGGATGTCAGGCGAGGCGATCACAAGGGGCAGCCGGGGGATGGCGGGCGGCGGATGGGGGGAGATGTGAAGGGGGAAGCGGCGTAACCCGCATGCCGGGCAGGGGGAGTCGTACCGATGATGCGACCCGCCGAGGCTTGAGACCGAGGAGTTGTGAGACACTGACAGCGTCGGCGAGAGGGACTCATTCGATGAGTAGCCCCGGTGGAGGAAGTACTCGTCGGCCGCCGCCTGCTGCTGTTGCTGGGCAGCCTGCTGCTCGGCATTCTGCGCGTGTAGCGGCGACCAGGACGTCGGCGAGGGGGTCTGCTCGCGGGAAGACACGCGCGATGGCGGGGTGTCGGTGGTGATGGCCAGCCTGACCGTGCTGCCTGGTGCCGCGGTCGAGTGGTGCTGTGACAGATCGCCCACGGAGATGGATGCACCCGCAGACCCGGCCAGGGAGCTTCCCCCCACGGGCGAGGAGGACATGCGGGTCCCGGAGTTGTTGGCGGTCAGCCCGGGCCGCGTGGATTGGGACCGGGGCCGGACGGTGTCGGCAGCCTCGGTGCTCGGCCGGCGAAGCCCATACAGTCGATGTCCGGCGGCCTCCGAGGCGGTGGTGCTGGACAACTCCCGCTGGCGCTCGTGCGACCCCGAGTCGCGGATGGACTCATAGAGGTTGGTGATGCCCCGCTTCCATGTGGACACCACGCGCGAGTGTGTGCTCAGGGAGGAGGGCGGCCGGGACACCACCGGCGACGTGCCCCCCGGCGAGTGTGTCGGCTGGGCCGAAGACAAGACCGATCCCACATGCCGGTGCTTGGCCGACCCCACCAGGGACTTGGTCGTGGAGGGGGACGTAACAGACTGAACCGAGTCTGTCGAGCCGGAGGTGGCCAGAAGGTCGCCCTCCAGGTCGACCCCGGGATCGGCGGTGGCGCCGGAGGCCGGCACCGTGTCGGTGGTTGTTTCGGTGGAGGCTGCGCGCGTCCGACCCGGCGCCACGTCGTCCGGAACGCCGCCACTACCGCCGCCTCCGCTGCCGGAGGAGGTCGCGCTGTCTGCATGGCCCCCGGGCAGCCCGGACGCGGGCTGCTGGTGGTCAATCGCCGGGGCCGGGGCCGGGGCCGGAGGAGCACCGGCAGACGGGTCCCGCGGCTCGAGGCGCAGCGATTGCTCATAGCAGAAGTCATCGTCTTCCGCCGGCTCGAGATTCTGCGCAATCACCAGCAGGAGCTGGATCTCCGCCTGAACAACCGAGGGCGCAGCTGCGGTGGTGCTGGCAGCGGCACCACCACCGGCCGTAGTAGCAGCAGTCGCCGAGGAAGCAGCAGTGGCGGCAGTGGCGGCAGCAGCAGACGCGGTGGCAGCTCCCCCGGAGCCGGAGGACGGCGATGCCACCGACGACGCGGTGCCCCCGACGGTGGCCACTGCGCCCCCGAGGGACGCCGAATCGTGGAGCGACTCAGACCGGGGGAGCCCAGCCCCAGGACCAGCGGTCAAAACCATGCCAGTGGTGGGGGACCCGGGCCGGCCGGGACCCAGCCCGGCCGACCCGAACAGCGCTTCGGCCTTCTGCTCGTAGCCGCCCACCTGCTGCTGGTAGGTTTGGATCTCCCAGATGACCTGGGCCAAACGCCGGCGTTTGGAGAAGTTCACAAGTGCCGTGCCGGGGATGAGGTCCGGATTGCCGTCCTCGATGAAGGTCAAATCCGACTGGTACACCCCGAAGTAGGGGACCCGCGGAGGGTGCGCGGTGTGCAGCAGACGCCGGTAAGTGGCGTAGCTGCGCTCCGTGTGGACGATCTTCTGCAGATCCGACAGAATGGTCCTGGCGCGCTGGCTGACCAGGGCCCAGGTATTCCGCAAGCGCCGGATGGAGGAGGAATTGATGGCCGACACCATGGCCATGGTGGCATGGAAGTTGTTCAGGCGGAAGCACCGCTCGGCAATGAGGATGAAGCGCTCCAGCACCTCGGCACGCTTCTGCGCATCCGGCACCCCGAGAATGAGGGTCTTCACCCAGCCGGCAGTGCGATTGAAGCGCAGCGTGAGCGCGTGGATGTTTGGTGCGTCGCGCAGCAGAGCCAGCGGCGAGGCCGGATGCGCATCGACCGTGGCCGTGAAGGCGGTGTCCGAGGTGGTGGAAGTACCAGCGACAGTGGCGGGGG